AGGAGCCCAAAACTCCACCTGGGCCCCTATAGGGGTGCCTGGGCCGTCACCCTCACCTCCCAGGGTGCATGTCAGCGGGGCACTGGGTGGGAAGCAGAACCAGCCCGAAACCCAAGCATTCCTACAGGGGATGCGGGCATCTTAACCAGCGCACCAAACACCCGCCCTGGGACAGCGGCTTGCCACACTGAGATCCGGCTCATTTCTCCCGGAGCCTGGGAAGGCGTCTCAAACTAGCACCTGCCTAAGAGCCCCTGGGAAGCTGTGTTCAAACAGAGAGGCCAGAGCCCCAGCCCCAGGGTTCCCAACTCAGGAACGCGGGGATGCAATCCGATGGTGGTTTTCCAGCCAATCCCCAGGGACTTCTCTCCGAGAACCACGGCCCGCAGGCCCTCCCGCCTCTCCCCCCGTGGCTGCGTCCAAACACCAAGCTCTTGCCTTCTGCCACATGGCTCCCTTGGGATGTCCCTTATCCCCGGAGACACTCGCACGGTGAGCTACTTCCTGCCATTCCGTTCTCAGCTCAGAGGCCTTTTGAGTGAGAACTCGCCCTGGCCTCAGCCACTTTCCAGTACACGCGTCTGTGTTTCCTCTTCTTTGAAGACTTTTATTTGTGTGAAAGACAGAAAGGGAGCTCCTATGTGCTGGTTCACTCCCCAAATGCCCGTAACAGCCAGGGCTGGGCCAGGCCAAAGCTAGGAGCCAGAATCTCATCTGGGTCTCACACACGGGTGGCAGAGACCCAACAACGTGGTGCCTCCCAGGGTCTGCTCTGGCCGGACGGTGGGACGGGGAGAAGAAGCAGAACTCAAACCCCGGTACTTCACCACCAGGCCAAACGCCCACCCTGCTCTGCCATTTCTTCACAGCGCTTCCTAGCCTCTGAAATGAACAAATCCTTTTTTTTTTTTCAAGACTTTTTTTAATTTGACAGGCAGATTTAGACAGTGAGAGAGAGAGACAGAGAGAAAGGTCTTTCTTCCATTGGTTCACCCCCACAAATGGCTGCTACGGCCGGCGCGCTGCGCTGATCCGATGGCAGGAGTCAGGTACTTCTCCTGGTCTCCCGTGGGGTGCAGGCCCAAGCACTTGGGCCATCCTCCACTGCACTCCCAGGCCACAGCAGAGAGCTGGACTGGAAGAGGAGCAACCAGGACTAGAACCTGGCGCCCATATGGGATGCCGGCGCCACAGGCGGAGGATTAACCAAGTGAGCCACGGCACCAGCCCCAAAATCCATTTATTGATTTACTAACTTACGACCTATCTCTGCCCAGTTCCCCCCTCCCAAATGTCACGTGCATGGTGTGTGCCCTGGGACCAGGAACGTTTTAAGCGTCATTGAATGAACGCGTGAATGAGCCAGTGAGAGACGCAACGGCAGGACAAGGGGAGAGGCAGTGACGGCGGGAACACAGCGGGAACCTGGGAGGCGAGACTCCGTGGGCAGCCAGGGCCCCAGCCTGCACTGGCCTTGCCCCTCCCCCCGACGGCACCTGCTTGTGAAGCCAGCCTCGGATGTGCACGGGCAGGTTGGGGTCCCTCCTGAGCGCATTGCCTCTCTTCCCAAAGGCGTGCACCTTGTTGACTGCCCTGGTGGGCTTCTGAGGAGAGAAGGGGTCAGAGGTGAACCGGGCCTCCAGACGGACACGAGGCACAGGCAGCCGTGGGCCCTCGGCCAGCTGCCCTTGGGCCCTGCTGGAGATCCAGGGTCTGTACCGCACAGCTGATGGGCAGACGGGGGGCAGTGCTTGGAGAAGGGGAGAGGCTGTGGGGAGTGGGGGGACTCGGGAATCTGCAGTCTGCTCCCTTAGCCACGAGAGTCCCGGGTGTGGCAAAGCCCTTGGCATTTGAACTTGAATACTGGCAGGGAGCTCCGGCATCAGGAGGCACTTCCGGCCGAGTCCCTGGATTGTCCAATGCGCTGACTTCCCCTGGTGACCACCTGCAGGAGAAGGGGGCCCTTACCCCCGCCCGCCCAGATGGGGCTGCCTCCCCCTGCCGGCTGCAATGCACCCTTCCTTAGAAGTGGGGCCGGGTCTCTGCGCCCCGAACCTGGGGAGCGGGAAGCGTGTGAGCAGGAGGACAGGGAAAAGAGGCTGCAACTGGACTCGCGACCGTGGTGACGACCCGGGGGGCAGGGAGCTGGCCTTGACCGTCAGAGAAGGGGCTTTCTTCATAGGGTTTCATGAGTGGGTAGAGTGATGGCCAGAGAGAGCACAGGGAGTGTCCCACAGCCACTAGAGTTCCTAGAGCCGCCTCACGGCTAGGGAGTGGCCTCCAGTTTAGCAGCAGGGTCAGTGGAGGTTGCTAGTCTTAGAATTAGGAAAATATGAGGGGCGGGGTCAGAGCTGGGCGTGCCTCTGAAATCCTAGCTGTGCTGGGGGCGGAGTGCGGGTGGGATCTGGGACCCTACTCTGTCTGGCAGACCCCCGATACTGTCCTTAACCACCAGGGTCCTTGGAGCAGCTCAGAACCCAGGGCAAGGAAACAGGGGGCTGGGTGGCCCACAGCCGCGCCTTCCTCCCCGTGCCCACCGGGAAGCTCGAACCTTGGTGCTCAGGTTGCTGAGTGAGGAGACGGTAGAGGTGCTGCTGGCCAGGCTGAGGCTGCTCCAGGGCCTGCCTTCCTCCATCAGGGGCTGGGGGAGAGGAAGAAAGGGGCTGTGTCTCTGCAGCGGACCCTGCCGGGGACAGAGTGGGGTCAGGGGCGCAGAGGTCGGAGGAGGCTAAAGAGAAAGAGACTGTTGTTTAGGGACCGGGGGCTGGGGGAGGCCAGGGCCCAGGCCCGCATACCAAGGGCGATGCCAAGAGAGGTAGGCGGTACTGGCAGCTGCGGGGAGGGGCAGCTGTCTGCAGCCCAGGCCCGAGAATAGGGGCCTCTTTCTTGCTGCCCACCGTGCCCTGGCCAGGAATTTGACCCTCTCTGTGCCTAAGGGACCCCCTGCCCTGCCTCCTTCCGGCCGCCCCAGGCTACCTGTCTCCTGTTGTCCCACGCACACCTCCACCCCACCTTGGCCAAGTGCCCGGGCCAAGCTAGTGGCATGAGGAATGTACACCAGCCAGCGCGTCCCAGCCCAGCTAGGGAGCTTACCCGGCTCACAGGTCCCGGGGACAGGTGTCCCGCCTCCCGCGTCTCTCCGGAACCACCTCTCGCAGGCCTCGGCCTCTCCTCACCTGCCTGCTGGCCCTCTCACTGTCTCTTTGTCTCCTGTTGCTCCCTCTCTCCCCCTCTCTTCCTCTCACTCACCTTCTGCCTCCCTCTCTCCAACCTCTGCCTCTTCCAGTCCGTCTCTCTCTCATTCTCTCCTCCCACAACCACGCTCTCTCCCCCGTCTCTCTCTCTCTCTTTTTCTTACAGATTCGGTTTCTTCCTTAACACTTTTCTCCCCCCTACCCCGTCTCGCCCCCCCCCCCCACTCACTCTCTTACTCTTCTCTCTGGCCCTCCACGTCGTTCCTCTCTCTCTCTCTCTCTCTCTCTCTCCCTCTCCCTCTCTCTCTCCCTCTCCCCCTCTCTCTTCCGACTCTCCCCGCTTTCTCTTCCTCCCTCTCCCGTTTCTCTTTCCTTTCTGCTGGTCTTTCCCTGCCTCTGCCAGCCGCCCACGCCGCTGTCTCCCCTCCCAATCCCGGCTGTCCCCGCCCCTCCTGGCTTCCCCACCGCAGCCAGACCCCTGGCTGGGCTGGCCTCCCAGCTGAGGGGAGGGGCTGCCCGGCCCCCAGCTCCAGGGTCCCCAAGGGCTGTGGCCGGGAGTGCTCTGGGCTTGCAGGCAGGGGCAGGATCGGGCCAGGGCCGCTGGTGGCCTAAAGAGAGGGGACCTGCGTTTTGTAAGCAGTCTGGGCTGAGGCTCTTGAAGAACTGGGGTCAGGAATCCAGAAGCTGACAGCCCGAGTCGGGGCTCCTCGGTTCTGGAAGGGAGACTTTGATTGGGCGAGGCTGGGTGCTTCCATCACCCAGGCACAGGGGGTGGCCTGGATTTCCCGGATGCCCCTTGGAAGGCAGAGGGTGATGGCCCCAGGGGTTGGGTCCCCGCCGCTCACATGGGAGACCCGAGGGAGTTCCTGGCTCCTGGTGTCAGCCTGCAGTTCCAGACGCTGGCTGGGGCACGGTCAAGTAGGGGGCAGCTCCGAATCTCCATCTCAGATCCAGGTGGGAGCTGGGGCACATTTTGGGGAGCAAAGTTATGGACCGGCTAGGGGAAGAGGGACAGGGGATTGGCCCTGTGTCCCTGGGCCAGGCGCTCAGAGCAAACGCTTCCCACTCCCAGGAGGGAGCCACCCAGTCCTAACCAAAACATGCACCCTAAAAAGTAATTTCTTCAGGTGTTGTGGAGCAGGGCCTTCAGCTGCCGGCTGGGACACTCACACCCCCACCGGAGGGCTGGTGCGAGGCCGGCCACTCAGCTAATGCCCCCTGGAAGGCAGAGGGTGATGGCCCCAGGGCTTGCCCCTCCCCCCGACATGGGAGACCCGAGGGAGTTCCTGCCTCCTGGCTTCAGCCGGATCCAGTTCCAGCTGTCTCTGTCATTCTACCTTTAAAATAAATAATAAATCTTTTAAATATATATAGGTAATATATACAGACACTTTAAGGCCAACCGGAACCCCACGTCGGAGCGCGGGTTCCGGCCCCAGCTGCTCTGCTTCCCGTCCAGTTCCCACCTGAGCAGACAGGTGAAGGCCCCAGGGCCCCTCCAGCCACGGGGCAGACCTGGGTGGAGCTTCTTGCTCCTGGTTCTGACCCGGCTTGGTCCTGGCTACTTGCAGCCATTTAAGGAGTGAACCAGCAGATGGAAGATCTCTCTCTCTCTCTCTCTCACGCTATCAAATAAATAAATAATAAATACTTTAAAAATATTTAAGGCCATGGTTACATCGAACAGTAAATCAGTAGGCGAAATGCCGACTGTGCGGTGCAGCCCCGCGAATACAGCCGAGCAGGGGGCCGGCCTGCCCGCTAGGAGGCTGGACGCTGCAGTGACCACCTTGGGCAAGTGGAACGGGGACACGGCCACCCCCGTCCGCCGGCGACCGCAGGCTGGGGCCCGCCGCCTACGCTGGGCTGGGGAGCCATCGCGCAGAGCTGAGCGAGGGGCACGCGCGTGACGGACAGCCCGCGCGGAAAGGCCGCCGTGACGTCACAGGCCTGGAATCCCCGCGAGAAGTCCCGGTTCCCTTTTCGCTTCCCCGCCCGCGGAGGCGGGCTCCCGAAGCCCCGCCCCGCGTGACGTCAGCGCGCCGGCCTATAAAAGCGCCGCGAGCGGCGTCCGTGCTCCACCGCTCTGTCGCCAGCCAGCACCGTGGAAGATTACATGCGAGACGCCCGTTCGCCGCCACTGCGCTTGCGACCGCCGGTGGGACCAAGTGTCCTCGAGCCTCACGCCTGAGGGCGAGATGAACGCGCTGGCTTCCCGAGCCGTCCGGACCTACGATCGCTTCTGGCAGCCCGAGCCGGCGCTGCTGCCTCCGGGGTGACGAGCAGGCCCCAGACGGTGAGCGAGGGGCGCCGGGGAGCTGGGGGCTAGGGCCGGGCTCCCGGGACTAGAGGGTTCGGGGCCGGGACTCGAGCTCGGGTCCTGAGGGAGGCAGGGCCTGGGGCGGGGTAGGACCGGGGGTGGGGGTCTCCGGGGCGTGGAGGAGGGGGCCGGGGCCCGCAGCTTGGGAAGGCGGGAGGGTTGGGAGTCTTGGAGCTTGAGCCTGCGAGACAGACCCTTGGGTCCCCAAGGAAGCCGCGGCGGGGCTGGGGGTGTCGGGAGGTACGGAGCCCCCAGGGAAAGATGGCGGCCTGATTTGTCAGTGCCCAGGGCGGTGAGCGACCTGCGTCCCCACGGGGAGCGAGGAGAAGGCCTTTGTTCTTGGTTCTCCTGGGTCTGAAGAGAGGAGGGGTCGGGGGTCTGGACGCTCGGACCCAAGGGTGGACCGAGCCGGGCCCCAGAGCGCGAGAGGGGCGTGGCCGGCGTCAGGAATCCCGAGCTGTGCCTGTTGCTAATTCCGGCGGCCTGACTCACGGTCACGCCCCGCGCCAGCCCCAAATGGCCCCTCAACTTTATTTCCTTTCCTTCTCCCCCTTTTCCAGCCCAGACAGATGGCGCCCGGCCAGGTGCCGCATCATGGCGCCCCCTGGGGGGACGCCCACCCCTTCTTCCTCCTGTCCCCGCTGATGGGCTTCCTCAGCCGGGCCTGGAGCCTCCTGAGAGGCCCAGGACCTCCGCAGCGCTGGCTGCTGGAACATCAGGTCGAGGCTGGCCTGGAGGCGCCCGTGGCCGCCCGTGGAGCCCCCTGGGGGGCTGGAGGCAGCGGCAGGACGCCCTGCCTCAGGCGGAAAGGCTGCCTGCCTGAGGCCCCGGGACTTGCAGATGACGATGACGAAGAGGCAGCCAGTGTCGAACAGGGAGGGCAGCTTGCAGCCGGCCAGCCTGCTGCCCTGTGCCCCAGCCTGTGGGGGGGAAGCCTGCGCGGGTCTGATAAGAACCCTGGGGCGGAGGAAGCGGAGAGAGGGGGCGTGGCCCCGGTCTCTTATCCCTGGTCAGGGGGGAGCCCCGCACAGAGGATGGAGACGCCCCCAGCGCCGCCAGTTCCCCGACTCCAGGACCCGAGCCCAGCAGAGGGGCGCGCTGCCCAGGGGACGGCGGGGCCCGAGCCACGGAGGAGGAAAGAGCAGGAAGCCAGGAAGGCAGGAGGGCCTCCGATCCGGCCTCGGATTCCAGCGCCGAGCCCAGGCCCCGGGAGCCTTGTTCAGGAGAGGAAAGCAGGGAGACAGGGGAAGGGGTGCACGGAGCAGCCGGGAGAGGAGACGCCGGCCCCGGGCCACGCTGCCTGGCGCCCCTTCGGAGGCCCCTGCTCAGTCAGTCCGGCAAGGACCCAGAGGAAGAAGACAGTGAGGAGGAGGAGGGCCCTGCTGACAGGGCAGCTGAGGAGGAGGGAGGAGCTGAGGCTTCCTCTCCCACCCGTGCAACAAGTGCCTTGGTGAGGGCCTGGGTGTGTCGGCCAGGAGAGGACACGGAAGATGACAGCGACGAGGGATCAGCTGAGGAGGATGGAGAAGCTGAGGAGTGGGGAGAAGCTGAGGTTTCCTCTCCCACCCGTGCAACAAGTGCCTTGGTGAGGGCCTGGGTGTGTCGGCCAGGAGAGGACACGGAAGATGACAGCGACGAGGGATCAGCTGAGGAGGATGGAGAAGCTGAGGAGTGGGGAGAAGCTGAGGTTTCCTCTCCCACCCATGCAACAAGTGCCTTGGTGAGGGCCTGGGTGTGTCGGCCAGGAGAGGACACGGACGATGACAGCGACGAGGGATCAGCTGAGGAGGATGGAGAAGCTGAGGAGTGGGGAGAAGCTGAGGTTTCCTCTCCCACCTGTGCAACAAGTGCCTTCGTGAGGGCCTGGGTGTGTCGGCCAGGAGAGGACACGGAAGATGACAGCGACGAGGGATCAGCTGAGGAGGAGGGAGGAGCTGAGGAGTGGGGAGAAGCTGAGGTTTCCTCTCCCACCCATGCAACAAGTGCCTTCATGAGGGCCTGGGTGTATCGGCCAGGAGAGGACACAGACGATGACAGCGACGAGGGATCAGCTGAGGAGGATGGAGAAGCTGAGCCCCCTGCCTTCCGAGTGGCCGTCTACCTACCTGGAGAGAAGCCACCCCCTCCGTGGGCTCCTCCTAAGCTGCCCGTCCGGCTGCGAAGGCGGCTCAAGGTCTCAGAGGCCCCGGCCCGCGGTCCGGACCCTGAGACTCCCCTGGCCAGAAAGGTGGGTGCCGAGGGCCCTGGGCCTTGAGGCTCGGGGAGGAGGGGGCTGGGAGTGGGAAGGCCTGGGCGGGGGAGGAGGGCTGCCGGCCGGGACTGCTGGGCGCCCGTGTTGCACAGGATTGCGTGTGCACTGTCGGGAGAGCTGTCACGCACTGCTGCGTGAGAGGCGGGGCCCCGGGGGGAGAGGCAGCAGCTGCGGCACCCGGCCGCGCGGGGATCTGCTCTGGTGGGCATTCGTCCTGCCTCACTGCTCTCTGGTTCTCTCCTCCCCCTCCTGGATGCCCGTCTTTGCATGGCCGTGCTGTCCACCTCCAGGTGCGCTTCTCTGACAAGGTCACCGTCCATCTCCTGGCTGTGTGGGCGGGGCCGGCCCAGGCTGCCCGCAAGGGCCCTTGGGAGCAGTTCGCCAGGGATCGGAGCCGCTTTGCCCGCCGCATCGCCCGGGCCCAGGAGGAGCTGGGCCCCTGCCTCAGCCCTGCAGCCCGGGCCAGAGCCTGGGCGCGCCTCAGGAACCCACCCTCCTCCCTGGGCCCCATCCTCGCCCCCGCCCACACGTTGCCTTCCTCCCCCGCCTCTCCCAAGTCCCCAGTCCAAGCCATGGCCCTGTGCCAAGCCGTGGCCACACCCTCTCCCTCCCCGCCTACTGAAACCCCATCTCCCTGCCTGGGCCTCAGTGGGAGGCGTGGCTAAGACCAAGTTTGTTTGTGTGTTATTTATTCATCATTTTCTTAAGTATTTATTTATGCAAAAATAAAGCCTTTGGATTTGTAGCAAGCAACATCTCGTGTGGGACAGAACTGACACCCTACCTTGGGCCCTTGAGATGGTTGGGAAATAGCACTGCTGGGAGTGCGTCAGTTTTTAATATTTTATTTATCTGAAAGGTAGAGTTAAATTCCATCCCCTGGCTCATTCCTTCCTCAAATGGCTGCAGTGGCTGGGGCTGGGCCAGGCCAAAGCCAGGAGCCTGAAACTCCACCTGGGTCTCCTGCATGGGTGGCAGGGGCATCTTCCATAGCTTTTCCAGGTGCCGGGACACAGCACATGGGGTGCCGTGTGCCGGCGGCAGGGGACCCACAATGCCACACACTGGCACTGTACCACCTTGCAGGTCCCCCTTAGCCCAGAATGCTGGGGTTCGCTCTCTGGGGGCCTTGGCATGCGCCTGGGGCTGAGTTCCGGGAGATTTTCCTGTCGTCTGATGTCATGTTTCTGAGTCCGCTGTGCACAGACTTGGTTTCCTTATCTATAACGTAGCTGACAGTTGTACACAACTTGTAGGATTGGAAGGCCTCAAAAGGATCACAGTTTAAAACCGTGCTCGGCCGGCACTGCGGCTCACTAGGCTAATCCTCCACCTGTGGCGCCGGCACACCGGGTTCTAGTCCCGGTCGGGGCGCTGGATTCTGTCCCGGTTGCCCCTCTTCCAGGCCAGCTCTCTGCTGTGGCCCGGGAGTGCAGTGGAGGATGGCCCAGGTGCTTGGGCCCTGCACCCCATGGGAGACCAGGAGAAGCACCTGGCTCCTGCCATCGGATCAGCGCGGTGCGCCGGCCTCGACGGCCATTGGAGGGTGAACCAATGGCAAGGAAGACCTTTCTCTCTGTCTCTCTCTCTCTCACTGTCCACTCTGCCTGTCAAAAAAAAAAAAAAGTGCTCATCAAATGAATTAATTCACGTGTTAGGAATGTAAGCCATTTTCGTTCTCCCTGATGCGTGTCTTCCATCACCCACCCAAACTTCCATAGACAGCTTGGAATTCTCTGATCTCTGATCCATCCAGTTCAAATAAGGTGGACCGGGGCCAGTGCTGTGGTGCAGCGGTTTTAAAGCCACCGCCTGCAGCGCCAGCATCCCATATGGGCGCGGTTCGAAACCCAGCTGCTCCACTTCTGATCCAGCTCTCTGCTGTGGCCTGGGAAAGCAGTAGAAGATGGCCCAGGTCCTTGGACTCCTGCACCTGCATGGGAGACCTGGAAGAAGCTCCTTGCTTTGGGTTGGCCCAGCTCCAGCTGTTGCAGCCAATTGGGGGGTGAACCAGTGGAAGGAAGACCTCTCTCTCTGTCTCTCTGCCTAACTCTGACTTTCAAATAAATAAATAAATCTTTTAAAAAAGTGGCCCGAATGTGCAGCCTCACGCCCTGCCCTGTCCACTGACTCCCCAGGCCGCTACGACGCTGCCCTCACCTCCAGCTCCTGTAATTGGGGACCCCATGGGGGTAGGTGCCTTCCACGCCCAGGGCCAGGACTGACCCAGGCGGCATCTAGTACGTGTTGGTCCTGAGACGGTGCAGAAGCAGGCGCGCCCAGGCTGGCGGGGGAGTGGTATTTATGAATTACTCACAAGCCAGTTTCCCATCGAAACTGGACAAGCAGATGGCGAAGGCTTGAAGCGGGCAAAGCGGGAAGCGGAAGTCCATGGTGAACATGTCTGGGGCCACCCGGCCAAACTGCAGCACCAGGCAATTCGCTGAGGGGAAGTCGGGAACTGAGCCCTGGGCTGCCGCTCTCCCGACCCCCGCCTCAGGGCTCAGAGAACTCCCAAGAGGTTCGTGTGGCGCCCTTTACTGAGACCTTAACGCCCCCGCGGGTCCTGCAAACTACAACTCCCAGGAGGCTTTGCCACAGCGCGGCGCCCGCCCTGCCTAGAAGAACGCGCCAGTGCTGATGGGAGAGGTAGTTCGGGTGCTCACGCCCCCTGGCCCAGGGAGGCCGCGGGATCCTAGGAGCTCACGGTCATCCAGGTGCACGATCTGGAAGTTCTTGATGGAGGCGCGCGTAACGCGGCCGTGAAAATTGAGCACGTAGGCGCCGTTCTCTTCGCTCCACGACGGGTACTTGTTTCGCAGCAGGACCAGCCCCTGTTTGGCTCCGCGATGAAAGCGACCCAGGAGTGACTCCTGTTCCTGGAGGGCAAGTAGGGGGCGTGGTTAACCGAAACCAACCCTCAGAAAATGAGTTCACGCCCTGGGAATCCGACAGAGTTCCCCAGGACCTACGGGCCACCAGCACCGCTCTGGCCTCCCCCGCCCCGGGACCTATGATGGCAGCTCCACCCCTCCCCCACAGGCCCCGGGGCAGCAACCTTGGGGGCTCACATTTTGGGGCTGGACTCTGATCCTCTGGTTCTTCCTGTCCATTCCAGGGATGATCACGGTCATTTTCCGAGGCCCCCGGAATCCCAGGACATTGGTCTCCTGCCGGCATTATTTCCCCCTTGGCCTGGCTCTCTTCCTCTCCTGTCCTGCCCCTTCTCTCCCAACCCTGGGACACTTACGTAACACACGACTCCCAGCTCCTCTCGGAGCCGGGAAGTCCCCGGGGTCAGATACCTTCGTTTGGGATTGACCCCGTTGTCGAAGATGGTGAACTTGGTGCCCAAGATGTTAGATCTGCTCCGGGAAGGGAGTGGGTAGGATACAACACCCCCCAGGTGAGGATCAGCTTCCCTGTAGCCCCAGTCCCGGCCCCCAGCCCTGTGGTGAGCCTGCAGCCTCCTACTATGGCCCGTTAGCAACCCTCCTCCCTGCAGCCAGCATTTGGCCTGAGCAGTTAAGACACCTGCGTCCCACGTCAGGGCACCTGGGTTCAACACCAGGCTCTGACTCCTGACTTAGAAGGCCCAGCCCCGTGCCTCTGAGAGCCTGCACCCCAAGGGATTCGAACGGCTTCCCTCTCTCTCCCACATCCCTGGCTGCACCTCCAGAATCAGACTCCCCAGGGGGAGCCTGTGCTCTGTTGGAAACTGTGGTCCTCTCGTCCCTTTCCCCCCCCCCCCCGGCCCGGCTCCCTGCTACCCGTTCTGCACACCTGACTTTGCCCACAAAGTTGTTGCCGTCCCGGGACAGGTCTGTGGGGTCCAGGGAGATGAGGTAATTGGAGGTTTTGCTCCTTCTCCTCTTCCGCCCAGCCAGGAGGAAGTGCTGCGGGTGGGAGACACAGCCGGTCGGAAGGGGTTTCTAGGAGTCCACAGACAAGGAAAGGCGTGGCCCGTGGCCATGGCGAGGGCACCAGGGCCGTAAGGACCCCCAAACCTGCTGGGAGGTGGGGCTCTCCCTGAGGAAGCCATCAGCTGGGTCCTGGACGGGAGCTTCACCTCTTAGTAGCGACCCCTGGTTGGGACTTAAGCCCAGGCCGTGGCTAGCCTGACCGTCACAGGCAGGAACTGAGAATTTGGAACGGCCTCACGTGCAACATTGGAGCAGGACTTTGAAGGGACGTTCATCCTGATACCCAGGCCTGGCTAGGGGTCAGCCCTGAGGGGAGGGGCACCCTGTCAGGGGTGTGGCTTGTCCCAGGACTGAGTGAGGTCTGACGTGAGGAAGCTCAGGAGAGACCACTTGCAGTGGGACAAGACTTGGTGTGAGACGGCCGAGGCCACGGGGCTCCATGAGGAACGGATTCCGGGCCTGGGACGGCCAGGGCTGGGCGTGGGAGTGGGCAGGTCCACCTTGCAAATGACCAGCAAGGCCAGGGTTCCTGGACATCCCGACTTTGCGCAGAAGGGGGCGGGGCTCGGGCTGGGAGGCGGGCGGGCGTGCCCGAACCTTCAGGCCTTCCTCGGCCTCCAGGTAGAGGTGGTAGAAGGGGAACATGCCGCGGTCCACGTCGCGCTTGTTGCGGCTGATGCGGCACTGCACCATGTGGCCCTGAGGCGCCGGCTGCAGCACGTAGGCCTCCAAGTCCTCGCCCAGCCGAGGCCCGGGCTTGGACGGCGGCGACTGCACCAAGCCCTCCACGTGGCCGCTGTCAGGGCCGCTCGGGCCTTTGCCTTCGCGTTCCGACACCTCCTCTTCCGCTGCCTCTGGGGGGGTCACTCCGGAAGACCCCCGCTCCTCTTTTTTCTCCTCCGGGTCTTCGCTCTAGCACCACACGGCAAATTCAAAGGTGAGCGACAGCGGGCGCCCCACCTTGCCGACTGCTGATTGGCCAGCCCAGCAAAGGGTGCCGCCCCCAGCCATACATGTTTCCTGTGCCATTGGTCAAAGGTCTCAGTCAGCTAACCCAGCCACGCCCCAGGAGCTGTTGATTGGCTAGTTCTATTCGCTTTCCCCCTGAAGCCGAGCCGACTCTGCCTACTGATTGGAGAACCCCTGTGGGGCGCACTGCCCATTCGGACAAAACGGTGTAGATTCAATTCAGGTAACACTGCACACAGCCCAGGTGTGGCTCCAAGGGAACCCTTGCACCAGGCTAAGTGAGAGCAGTTGGCTCTGATAAATAGCGCGCGCACACACACACACACAGCGTCTGCTAGCCCATCACAGCAGGGAAGAAAAAGCGCCCCAGGGTTTCCTCCCCACCCTCCCCAGGTGTCCCAGGCTGGCCGTCTTCCTCCTCCGGAGCGCCCGTGCCTCCCATCACCTGGCAGGTGCCCACGTCCCCGCGTTCCCAGCCACTGTCCACTCCAAGCTTTGCGTCTGGACTGGGCTCATTGAATTCGTCCTCCACATCCTGTAATTCACTCTGGTCCTTTGCGGTGGCCCCTAAGGGTGGGAGAAGCCGGGACCGGAGTAAGGAAAACTCGGTCCCGTGAGTCTGGGACATGGCCATCGGGGCTAGCGGCACAAGGCCAGAACTCTGGGGTTCTCAGCCCCTACTCACTACTCCTTGCCCTCCCTTGCCACATCCTCCCGAGAGGCTGCTGAGGACAGGAAGGGACGTGAGGGTCTCACCCTTCTCCTATCCCAGAGACGGGGGGTAGAAGTTGGGGCAGTAATGTGGAGTCTTGTCACTGAAATGCTGGCAATGTCATGGGGATTGGGGGGGTGTGTGTGTGTGTGGCACAATGGAATATTACTAGGGAATGAAAAGGAATGAAATACTGGCAAGGCTACAGCATAGATGACCCCTAGCAACTTTATACATAAGAGAAGCTAGACACAGAAGGTCACATATCGCATGATTCCACGGACATGAAACAGGGTGGGCAAATTTAAGGAGACAAGAAGTGGATCAGGGCTCCTCTTGGAGGAAATGACATGGGGTGACCGCTAATGGGCGCAGGGTTTCTTTTCGGGGTGGCATAAGTGTTCTAGGATAGAGAGAGGCGACAGCACAGATCTGTGAACACACCAAGAACCACGGAACTATGGGATCTATAACTGCCCTTCAAGAAACACATAAACCTTTCTTTTTTGAAAGCGGCTTCCAAGAAAGGAAGACGATCGGCCACACGGCAGGAAGCCGGAATTCACCCCGATGTTCCCGAAATTACCGGGCCACTTCCAGGCCAGCCAACCCCTGCGGCGAGTTCCCTGAGGCTCCTTATAGGGCTGAGGAGAGACGGGCACGTCCTCCACGGAGACCTCCTCCAGCTCTGGTTCGGAATTGTCTGGAAGCCAGGAGAGGGAGGGGACTGGAGCCTCGGGTCCTAGGGGGTTGGAGGCGGTGGCGGCGGCGGCGGCTCAGGACTTGACGGCCCAGGCAGGAGGGAGGAGCGGGTGGGGCCGCAGATGCCTGGGCTTGGTCGGAGCCGTTTTCGGGGGAAGGCGGCCCAGGGGCTGGCGGTTACCTGCTTCCGTCGGCGACAGCAAGGGGCAGCGCTCGCCGCTGCCGTCCCCACCGCAGCCCACGGTGCCCGGCGGACCGTGCGCTTCGGGGAGCAGGTGTGCCTGGAGGAGAGGGTTCCCAAAGCCTGGGACAAGTGCGGCGGCGTCAGTGAACGCACAGGGCTCCAGCACGCGGACCCCCGCACCCGCCGAAACGCCATCCTACGGCTCAAACAGGCACCGCTCCGCGCCTAAACAACCCCATGCCAGGCTCGCACAGCCTCCCCACAAGTTCGCCTCCGAACCGTCCACGCCCCGCCACCAGGCGCCACCTGGCTCCGCGCACCCCGCTCCCGGCCTCGGCTCTCTCCGGCCGCTTCCGGGTTCCCCCAGGCCCCGCCCTCGAGCTCTGCCCAATCACAGGACGCGCTCGGGCACGATCCTCCAATAGCAATGCGCCCCGCCCACGAACCCTCGCCTCACGCTCCCCTTTGGCTTCGCCAAAGGCCCTGCCAGGCCCCGCCCCCGCGCTCCTATTGGCTCCTCCCCACAGACTGACGTCTCCATCTGAGAGCCCCGGAGCTGCCCTCACGGTGGTCGGCCTTGAAGCGGTCTTCTCGCCGCGACCCTTGCCGGTGCCGCAGAGAAGCGTCAGGATTGGCCTGGACCATGAGCGGCTCCTGGCGCTTCCGGCGTTGCTTCTTCTCGAACAGCCGCCTCTGGAGGGGGCGGGAGCGGGAACCCGCGCTGTTATCAGACGGGAAGACAGGTGTTGGGGGGGGGGCTGGGGAGGGGAGGCCCGCATAGGTGGGCGAACTCGTGACCCCCTGAGTCTCAAGGGTCCAGGCCCTCAGCTCCAAGAGTCCTGGGCACGCAGCCCCTCCTTCCATCGAAATGTAGGGGTCTCCGCACCAGGGTTTGCTTCTCTAGGGTCCCAAGTTCCTATTTCTTATTTCCCAAGTGCAGATGTGAGGTGGGGGCGGGGGAGGGTCGTGGGCAGAGTACCTGCTGTTCCAGCTTCTGCATCCTCAGGGCAGCGAGCTCTTCGGCCAGGGTGCTGGGAGAGACGCAGGCTGGTGTGGGAGCAAGCGGGGCCCTCCCCCTCCCCCCCTGCCCTCCCCCCTCCCCGCCTGCCCCGCCCCACTCGGGTTCTGAGCGGTGAGGTCACAGACCTTGCGGAACCTGAGCCTGCTGCGCCAGATCTCAAAGCTTTTTCTGTGTCTGGAATCTGCGTTCTTCCCGTCTCAGGGTCCCCCGTCCCCCCTCACGCCCGGAGGTCTCCCCCGGCAGCCCCCTCTTGGCAGGGCCCAGGAGCCCAGTCCCCAGCCCCCTTGCAAAGCCCCTGGTTCTCCCCCTGCTAGGTTACGGGGCCGGACCCGAGTGCCGGGGAGGCATAATCAAGCCTCAGATGAGCTCCACTAGCGCCCGCACCCCGCGCCCCGACAGCTTGGTTCCACACTCACCCGTTCTTACACGTGCTATTTTCCTGAGACATCCTGGAGAGGCGAGAACAAGCGGTCAGAACGCAGACCCAGCCTCCCAGCAGCCCTTGCCCTCCAGACCTGACCTTAAGCCCGGGCAGCCTGGGTCCTGCAGCAGGACTGACGGCCAGCTGTTCCGACTCCTTCACTGGGGGGGGGGGGGGGGCAGGGAGCCCGACTCTCTCTACGCCTGCAGCTCGGGGCCCCGGGCTGCAAACCCCTGCGCAGGTCCCACCTACCTGGGATTTTGAAGACTCTCTTCCGCTTTGGCGGGGACGGGCTACTCATATTCACACCTCAGGGCCTTGCCTCTGGAGGCCATGTTAAAGCACACCTAACTCTCTTTGAGAGCTGGGGACTAATCTCGGGTTCTCTGGGAAGCAGGCAGGAGGAGAACAAAGGGCTCAGAGGTAGAGAGCGTGCCTCTTGGGGCCTGTCCTAATCTCTTCTCTCCCTGTCCCCTACACTCACTTCCAACAAAGCAGTGACCTCTGGCCAGCCCTGCAGCTAGGCAACCCCGGGGTTCTGAATCGGAATGGCACGTAAGTGTTCCTTAAAGGGGCCTGAGAGAAGCGGCGGCCGCAAAGTCTCCTCCATGTGTCTCTTTTATAAGGAGCTTGTAAGTCTGCTCGGTTGCTACGGAGCTGCACCTCGCAGGTGCTTCTTGGGCGCGAAAACAAATAGTCAAAGTACGACTCCCAGGAGGCGAAGGGGCCAAGACGTCGGCGGAAGTGACTCATTTCCGCCGCTCCCGCCCAGGGCCTGCAGGGAGTTGTAGTTCTCTTCGGGAAAGTGTCCTACATGGCAGGAAGCGCAGCATCAGGAGGCGGGGCTTCTGAGAAAGCAAGCGAAGCTGTCGGGGGATAGGGGCGGGACTTCGGCAAGGGGCGAGGCCAGGAGGCGTGACGAGAGCGCCCGGAGCCAGCGTGGACCAATCAGGGTCCTGGGGGCGGGATCTCCGGGCAGATGGGCGTGGCCTAGGGGGGAAATCACTGAGCGAGCCCCTGAGGTCCTGGCCCGGGAAAACGCCCTCTGCGGCGAGGACGAGGTGAGGGCCGCGGCCCAGGCTCCGGGGTCCTAGGGGGAGGACGGGGCCGCGATGCCGGAGAACGGGGTCCCGGGGGAGGCTGGGCCGGTGCCAGGGCTTCCGGGTCCTGGGAGAGAGGAGGCGCGGAGCCTGGACTCCGGGGTCTGGGGGAGGAACGGCCGGGGTCTGGGGTGTCCGAGCGCGAGGGAAGAGGGCGCTGGGGGCCGGGACTCCCGAGTCCCTGGGGCGGAGGAAGCGGGGACTTGCAGGTGTGGACCCCCGGGTGCCGGGTCACGAAACGCGTTGAGTCCGGACTCCCGGGGGTGGGGGCCGCACGGGGGGCCGGACCCCAGGGGACTGAGCTGGGAGGCGGCTGGGGGTCTGCATTTTCCACCTCGCTGCCCCTCGCAGACCGGCCGCCATGCCGCCCCGTGGGCCGCGCAGAGCCCTGCTGCTGCTGCTGCTGTTGCACGCTGCGGGCGCCGTGCCGCTGGAGCGGGGGTCCCCCCGCCAGGACGAGAGCCCCGCCACCGAGAGTCCCGTGAGTGGCCCGCCTTGCGCGCTGCAGCCCTCGGCGCCCCCGGGGCGACCTGAGCCCAAGGTTGCGGCTGTGGCCCGCCTGCCGTTCTCTTCGCAACACTGGGGTCTGGGGCTCAGTTAAAAACTGGGGTGCCCCCCACTTGAAAATCAGGCCAGATGCTAAGTTTACAAAGCACCCCTGTCCACCTAAGCCTCTCTCGCTTTAAGAGCCTTGCCACCCGAGAAGAAACGAGAAATTAAAGGAAAACTACATCTCCCAGGAGCACCGGGAGCGGCTGATGATAGGCAGAGGCGTCCTAACTTCACGGAGCTCCAGGCGTTGGGGTTTGAACGGAAGAAAGGGCCCCTGAGCTGCGCACTAATCCCAACAGCTGTCTGTCAAATCCCACCAGACTTAGTGCTTCGCAACATTTACTTATTCATTTATTTATTTGCAAGGCAGGATTTCAGAGAGAGGACAAGGAGAGGGAGGGAGAGCAGGCATCTTCCACCTGCTGGTTCACTCCCCAAATGCCTGGAGGAAGCCTGGAGCTCCATCCGGGTCTCCCGCGCGGGTGCAGGGGCCCGAGCACTTGGCCCATCTTCCGCTGCCTTCCCTGGCGCATTAGCAGGGAGCTGGATGGGAAGTGGAACAGCTGGGACTTGAACCGGTGTCCGTATGGGATGGCGACATCCAGGCTGTGTCTGATAGGCGCCAATCCCTCGTGGCTGCCTTTGGCTTCCCGCTACTGCGCGCCCTGGGAGCTGGGACCACGCAGGGCGACGGCTCAAGCCGTTGGGCCCCTGCCACCCACGCGGGAGACCCGGATGGAGCTCCTGGCCCCGCAGCCCCCAGCCCCAGCCTGTTGTGGGCATGTGGGGAGTGCATCAGCCAATGAGAACTCTCTCAAAAAACTCAGTGAACTGCTAGATGGGTGGTTGAACGGAAGCTTGTGTCACTGCTTCCCAGCAAAATTCCGTCCACCCCAGCACGCACTCCGTGGGGGTGCCGGGCTGGGCGCCCCTCGATTTCCATCGCAAATCCCCCCCGGACTTGGGAGGAGGTGAAAACCAGCCCTCGGGTCAGGGTTACACCGTGAGTGGGATTGGAACCCGGAGTCCTCGTGCCCCACAGCAGGCCCCCTGCTGTCCTGGCCCCCAGCCCCATCGTCAGTCCTCCGGGGCAGCAGGGCCGCGGTCCTGCCTACAGGAAGGCGCTGCAGAGGGCGGGGCGATGGCTGCGTGTCTGTCCTTGTCACCCAGGACACCGGGCTGTACTACCACCGGTACCTGCAGGAGGTCATCAACGTGCTGGAGACGGACGGTCACTTCCGGGACAAGCTGCAGGCCGCCAACGCCGAGGACATCAAGGTGAGGGCAGGGGACGCAGGCCCTGCGGTGCCAGCTGAGCCCGCGGTGTGGGGGGCCTCTCGGCGGGAGAGGGCTCTGGGGAACCCGCGCTTAGCACGCGGAATTCATTCAAAACATGAGCCGCGCTGGGATCCCCTGCGTCGTCGCCGACTCCCGTGTGGGGGCCGAGGGTGCACCGTGCACGGGCTTCGCTCGCCGCTGTTAGCAATGTCCATCTCTGGGGTCACCTGGTCTTGCTGTCTCTGGCAGGCCACGCCCCCTGTGTGTGAGCCCACACCCCATGAGTGCAGCTGCAGCCCAGCGTGCGAGGCGACGGGAGGCGCGGTGCAGAGGGCGCAGGGCCCGGACCTGAGGGGCTGCGCCTTGTCCTGTGGGCTCGCAGTAGCGGGGCAGGGCAGGCGGAGGAGCCCGCCCGGCCTTTCAGGCTGACCCCTCGCTCCCTGCAGAGCGGGAAACTGAGCCGAGAGCTGGACTTCGTCAGCCACCACGTGCGCACCAAGCTGGATGAGCTCAAGAGGCAGGAGGTGTCTCGGCTGCGGATGCTGCTCAAGGCCAAGATGGACGCGGAGCAGGAGCCCAGTGAGTGGGCGGGGCGGGGCCTCCGCGGGTGGGCGGGGCCGCGGGTGGGCGGGGCCTCCCGGCCCTGTAAGGTGCCTGTTCTTCCCAGCTCAGCTCAGCGCTCACGGTGCCCTCTCGTCTGTCTTCTGTTTCCCTATTTTAAATTTTAAACCTCATTATCATATTTAAAGCGATTTATTTATTTGAAAGGCAGAGTTACAGAGGGGCAGAGGCAGAGAGAGGGAGAGGTCTTCCGTCCCCTGGGTCACTCCCGAGTTGGCCGCAATGGCCGGAGCTGAGCCTCTCTGAAGCCGGGTCTCCCACGCGGGTGCAGGGGCCCAAGCCCTGGGCTCCGTCATCCGCTGCTTCCTCGGGGGCCTAGCAGGGAGCTGGAGCGGAAGTGGAGCAGCCGGGACTCGAACCTGGGACGCCGCCGTCGCAGGGGGCAGCTCCACCTGCTGTGCCACGGGGCCGGTGCCTGGCGTCGCCCTCGGCCATCTCGTCGCGCTTTGCCGTCGTTAGTTCTCCTGGCCCTCTCACAGGGAGCCTTGGGGGGCACAGGGGCTCCTCCCCCGGGAGCCCGGGAGCCTGTCCCCATCTCAGAGCCTCAGCCGGGCCTCGTCTGCCAGGCCCATTTCACACCCGAGGTCGCGCAGCCGCAGGGCGCAGGGGTTGGGCCGTGGACGTCTTTGGGGAGCTGGCCGGCGGTCCAAAGTCTGTGCCGGCCTCTGGGGCCCAGGTTCACCACGGTCCCGCGGGCGCCCTCTGCTGGGCTGTGGCGCCCTCGTCACCCCAGCGCGGCTCACTGAGTGCAGAGTCTCCTGCACGCGGGACCTCCACTGGCCTTGGCCTCCGTGGCCGCGACGCCGTCCTGGCTCCCAAGGGTGCAGGCTCTGTCACTGCCTGGCTCCTGTGTGCACAGCCGCGTCCTCTCTGGGCCTCCGTTTCCAACTCCAGAAAGCGGGGATCAGCATAGATCCCCCCCTGCTGTCCCCAGTACAGTCATTGTACACATCAGCCTTGGTCGTGGGCTCGCTTCCTCCAGGAAGCCCTCCCTGCTGGCCCAGGCTCCGGCAGCAGATTGATCCTCGGAGCTTCCCCAGCGCCCTGTGTGCTGGGCCCTGAGCCTCCTCCCAGCACCGTGGGCTGTGCGGCGGCTCACCCCCTCCCCCCTCCCGCACCGTGCGCTGTGCGGCTGGCTCATCCCCCCCACACACATCCCCCCGCACCGTGCGCTGTGCGGCGGCTCACCCCCTCCCCCCTCCCGCACCATGCGCTGTGCGGCTGGCTCACCCCTCACCCCTCCCCCGCACCGTGCGCTGTGCGGCGGCTTACCCCCCCACACCCCCGCACCGTGGGCTGTGCAGCTGGCTCAGCACCTCCCTCCCTTCCCCCCCCTCCACAGACGTGCAGGTGGACCACCTGAGCCTCCTGAGGCAGTTCGAGCACTTGGACCCCCAGAACCAGCACACGTTCGAGGCCCGCGACCTGGAGCTGCTGATCCAGACGGTAACCGGGAGGCCGGGGCCCAGAGGGAGAGCAGGGTCCCGGTCCCCTGCCCGCGCCTCATCCTCCTCGCTGGCGCAGGCTGGGCTGCTTCCCGAAGCTTCCTCCGGCCTCTGGGGAAGCAGAGGCTGCGGGCAGGTCGGGCGAGGGTGCTGCTCACAGCCGGCCTCGCCTGCGCGTCACAGCTCCGCCCCCGCCGCGGCCCCGCTGATGCGGACCTAGGGTGGATTTCTTATCTGAAAGGCTTAGTGACGGAGACAGAAACCTGTCTTCTGGCTCACTCCCCCAAGCGGCCGCAACGGCAGGGCTGGGCCATCCAAAGCCAAGGCACACGGGTCTCCCACGTGGGTGGCAGGGCCCCAGGCGCGGGATGTGGGCGTGGCAGGCTGCAGCTTCGCCGGCTGGGCCAGCACGCCCGCCGTTCCGGGGAGGGCTGCCTTCCAGCCCTGGCTGTGAGGGCCAAGGGGATGCTTGGATCCCATCACTTTAAGCTCTTAAGTTTGGGTTCATCCCTCCCCGCGGTAATGGGAACTGATACCGTCGGCGTCTGAGACATGGGATCAACAAGGAAGGGGCAGCCAAGGCTGCCGTGGCCGGCTCACAGCCCTGCCGCGGCTCCCCTGGCCCGAGACCCCCCAGCCCGAGCGCCCCCAGCCCCGAGCCCGCTGCCCAGCCTGGCCTGGAGTCCCGGTAGCTCCCTCTAGTGGCCATGAAGGTAATAGCAGCTATTTTAACGCAGTGGAATAAAGCCCCGCACTGGGCCGGCCCCCCGTCCTGACATTCGCTAGACTCCAGAACATTCCAGAAACTGTCCGCTCCTCTCCGCACTGGGCCGTGCTGGCTGTCCCCCAGGGGTGACCTGCTGTGTGGCCACAGAACGCAGGCTGAGAATCCGGTACAGGCCGGCCCCCACGCCACGGCCGTGCTAACTTCCTGCTGTGGCTCTGACCAGTGCTTAGTAGCTTAGAACAGTCTGGCTTTTTTTTTTTTTTTTTTTTTCAAAAGGCAGATCATGCAGCTGCTGGCTCAGTGCCCCAGTGTCTGCAACAGCCAGGGCCAGGCCAGGAGCTTCCTCCGGGTCTCCCACGCAGGTGCAGGGGCCCAAGGACTTGGGCCATCTTCCACTGCTTTCCCAGGCCATAGCAGGGAGCTGGATCAGAAGTGGAGCAGCCGGGACTCGAACCGGCGCCCATAAGGGCTGCCGGCACCGCAGGGGCGGCTTTACCCGCTACCGCAGGGGCCACAGCACCGGCCCCTGTCATCTCGTTTGACAGAGAGAAGGGCGCATCCTGGGGAGGAGCAATCGTGGAGACCCAGAAAGTGAGATCAGGGCGCAGGGCTTGGGCCGGGGCGGGGCGGATGTCAGATCGGGAGCCGGGCAGGGCGGCCGGGGCAGGAGTGCGAGCGGCCGCCTCCCCCAGGCCACCCGGGACCTCGCCCAGTACGACGCGGCCCACCACGAGGAGTTCAAGCGCTACGAGATGCTGAAGGAGCACGAGCGCCGCCGGTATCTGGAGTCCCTGGGAGAGGAGCAGAGAAAGGAGGCGGAGAAGAAGCTGGAGGAGCAGCAGCGCCGGCACCGAGAGCACCCGAAAGTCAACGTGCCTGTGAGAACCCAGACTGGGAACCCGCTGCCGCAGAGGCTGCTGGGAGTTGTAGTCTTCTTGGCTTGTGCCACAGGGGCTGCCGGGAGTTGTAGTCTTCTTGGCTTTCTTGCTCCGGAGTGACTTCGGTTGGATGGGAGTAGGGTCCCCTGGCTGGATCGCGCGGGCTCCCAGACCTGTCGCTCACGAGCTGCGGCTCTCCCCTCCACAGGGCAGCCAAGCCCAGTTGAAGGAGGTGTGGGAGGAGCTGGATGGATTGGATCCCAACAGGTTTAACCCCAAGACCTTCTTCATACTGCATGGTAAGGTGGGGAGGGAGCCCAGACCCGGCTGAGCCCTGCGGTGGCTCTGGCCTCTTGGGGCCTGAACACCAGGAGGGGCCTTCCTGCCCTAGAGGGGCCTTCCTGCCCTAGAGGGGCTTAGGCAGCCCTGGGCGGCCTGAAGCCATCTGTCTGGTTGACCACAAGGCCCGGCCCCTCCCTTCCCCGCGTGGGGCTGGGATCCTCCCCACCACGGGTGAGCCTGGACGCACCGGGCCTCTGAGTCCTAAAGACCGGCCAGTGTCCACCCCGGCAGGGGTGGGGGGCGGGCAGCCAGCACAGCGAGGCAGTATGGCTGTGGGGGGCGCCCGGGCTTGCTGGAGCGAACGTACGGGGAGCAGGCGGGAGCGGGGCGTGGGGGAGGTGCCGGCAGCCCCCAGGCTCGCGATCGGGGACTTTATTCCGATGGGTGCTGAGGAGAGCCCGCGGGAGTAGGGGCTGGCGCCCAGAGTGTGGGGAGGAGGGACCTCGGGACGCAGGGAGAAGTGACGGGCAGGCAGGGCTTGCACACGGGCTGATGGAGTGGGAGGGCGAGGGAGACCACACGCGGCTGGCAGGTACATGACCCAACCCGCGTCGGGAGGAAGCTTGCGCTGGCTGTGCACGTGTGGGTGCGCCGGAGGCCGAGGACCCGGAGCCCCCATGTACACTGTCCACCGTGGCGGCCACCAGCCACCCGTGGCCGTCGCCGTGTAGCATGAGAGGGGCTGAAAAGCTGAAACTTAACGGAAACAGTCCATTTGGCTAGTGGCGGCCATACTGGGTAGTGCTGACCCCAAGGCTGGACGGCAAAGCCCCAGGCCTGAGGAAGGGGGTGGAGCCAGCGAGGAGCGGGGGGCGGGGCAGCGGGGGGGGGCAGGATGGCCTCCTGGGAGCGCGGCTGACGGTTAGGTGAGATGCAGGCTGAGAACTGACCACCGGATCTGCAAGCGCAGGGTCGCTGGCTACCCCGGCGGGAGCTGGGGGGACGGGGCGGAGCGGGGCACCGAGAAAGCTGGGGCTCGGGTTTCCCTGGCACCGGAGTGGGCGCTGGCCCTGCTCTGTGAGGCAGTCCTGGACCACCCCGATCCTGGGCTGAGCCTGCTCCCGGAACTCCCGGTGCTGGGATCGATCCACGCACGCTCCGGGAAAGCCCACGCTCCCCCGTGGGGTACTGACGCCTGAGAGCCCCCGGTTCACCCCCAGAGGGCCGTCACGACCTGTCCCGGTGTCCCTTCCCCTCAGATATCAACAGCGACGGCGTCCTGGACGAGCAGGAGCTGGAGGCGCTTTTCACCAAGGAGGTAAGCGCCACGGGAGCCGCGGGCCGGGGACCCCACAGCAGCCATACCTGGCCCCGGGATGCTAGAGGGCCCCTGAGTCGGCGTCCGGAGAAAACTACAACTCCCAGAAGGCGCAGGGGCGACACCAGGCTTCCGTGCCCGCGGACTGCTGGGAGTTGAAGTTGCTGCGGGGGCGAGGGTTTCCGAGAAGGGGTCTGGGAACGCGGTGACCCCGCGCTCCTCAGCGACCCCTGCCTCTCGCTCGACCCCCGCAGCTGGAGAAAGTGTACGACCCGAAGAACGAGGAGGACGACATGCGTGAGATGGAGGAGGAGCGACTGCGCATGCGGGAGCACGTGATGAAGAATGTGCGAGGCGGGGGCGGGGCCCGGAGGGCGGGCTGGGGCGGGGCTCCGCCGCTGATCCCACCCTCGTCCCGCAGGTGGACGCCAACCAGGACCGCCTGGTGACCCTGGAGGAGTTCCTCGCGTCCACTCTGAGGAAGGAGTTCGGGGACACCGCGGAGGGGTGGGAGGTGAGCCCGTGGGATGCGCTGGGCCGCAGCTGCCTCGCTCCGCGGACCCTCAGCCCTGTCCTGCTGCCCTGGCGGCCCTGGCCTGCACTGGGTCCTCCCTCGCCTCTGCGAGGTGGGCGGGCCGCGGCTGGAGACCGCCCGCCACACGCTGATGGATGGCCCGTGTCCGGCCTCGCAGACCGTGGAGATGCACCCGGCCTACACGGAGGAGGAGCTGCGGCGCTTTGAGGAGGAGCTGGCCGCCCGCGAGGCCGAGCTGAACGCCAAGGCCCAGCGGCTGAGCCAGGAGACACAGGCCCTGGGGCGGTCCCAGGACCGCCTGGAGGCTCAGAGGAGGGAGCTGCAGCAGGTGCGGAGACCCCGGGCCCCGATCTCGTCCACGTGGGCCTCCAGAGCCCGGGAAGACCCCGTGGTGGTGGGCGCACGGTGCGGCTGCCGCGTGCAACACGGGCGGGTGGGGAAGGCAGAGCCGGGGGCAGAGGGGCTGCCCTGTGGCCAGGCGGCCCCCCGGCCACGTCAGGCAGGGAAGGGAGCCCTGGGGCCGAGGCCCCAGTGCCCGGGAAGCCAGCGCCACAGCCGGGTCTGTGCGGCCCCCCCCGCAGGCCGTTCTGCAGATGGAGCAGAGGAAGCAGCAGCAGCAGCAGCCACAGGACCTCGGTGCCCCCGGCCCCAACCCGGAGGGGCAGCTCAAGTTCCGTCCGGACACCGGTGCTGGCCATGGCCTGGGAGAGGGGCTGGGCTGGACCCCTGGGTCTGAGGGAGGAGGCGCTGGGCTGGACCCTGGGTCTGAGGGAGGAGGGGCTGGGGCTGGACCCCTGGGTCTGAGGGAGGAGGCGCTGGGCTGGACCCCTGGGTCTGAGGGACGAGGGCTGGGCTGGACCCCTGGGTCTGAGGGAGGAGGGCTGGGCTGGACCCCTGGGCCTGAGGGAGGAGGGGCTGGTGCTGAGCATCTGGGTCTGAGGGAGGAGGGGCCGGAACTGGACCCCTGGGTCTGAGGTACGAGGGCTGGGCTGGACCCCGGGTCTGAGGGAGGAGGGGCTGGAACTGTACCCTGGGTCTGAGGGAGGAGGAGTGGGGCCTGGAGCCCTGGGTCTGAGGGAGGAGGAGCTGGGCCTGGACCCCTGGGTCTGAGGGAGGAGGGGCTGGGGCTGGACCCCTGGGGCTGAGGGAGGAGGGGCTGGGCTGGACCCCTGGGTCTGAGGGAAGAGGGGCTGGGCCTGGTCTCCTGTGTCTGAGGGGGGAGGGCTGGGGCTGGACCCCTGGGTCTGAGTGAGGAGGGTCTGGGGCTGGACCCTGGGTCTGAGGGAGGAGGGCTGGGGCTGGACCCCTGGTCTGAGGGAGGAGGGCTGGGGCTGGATTCCAGGGTCTGAGGGAGGAGGGCAGAGTTGGATTCCTGGGTCTGAGGGAGGAGGGCTTGGCTGGACTCCCAGTCTGAGGGAGGAGGGGCTAGGCCCTGTGGTGCAGGACTCTGGGAATCTAAGCTTCGCTCCGGCCCCCTCCAGCTGCAGACGACGCGCCCGTGCCGGCCCCGGCCGGTGACCAGAAAAGAAGCGGACGTTTCAGAAAAGAAGGCCCCTGAGCCGGCCACGGGGGACCCCCGCTGGAGTCCCAGCGCCTGTGATCAAACGACCCCAGCCCCCCACGTCCGCTGCATGGCCGACGGGAGCGCGGGTGTGATCCGTTGCCCTCAGTGGGGGCCGCAGCTTGCACCGCCGCCACCGCCGCCATCCCTGCCCGCCTATCCGCCCTGCAGCTCCGTCCCCTCCCAGCGGCCTGGCCTCTCTCGCGTCCGCTGGCGGTGGGGTCTTCCTCAGGAAGTCCGCGGCCGCCCTGTGTCCGCACAGCTTCTGGAAGTCCCGTCCGCTGCCCCGAGCCCGGCTTCTGTGGTTTTTGGGGACTCGGGGGGGGTCCCTTGAGCCTCATGCCTTGTTGGATCCAGCGATCCGAGGGACAGCGGCCTCCAGGCTAGGGCTGGGTTGCCCGCAGCGGGGGACGCTCAGCCCCAAGCTGCCCCCCACCCGGAGCAGTCCCAGCCCCGCCTCTGCTGCTCGTGGGTCCGCACGAATACACTTTCCGGAACGAATCTCTGGCTCGGTGCGTGCGTTGGCGCCACCATGCCGCGTCTCGCCGGGCCAGGCGCAGTCCCAGCGTCTCCGCCAAGGCCGGGCTGGCGTCCGCCGCCTGGTGCCGAGGGTCTGCCTGAGGCGCTGTCGGGGACATCTCCCCCTCCCACGACCCCAAGCATGAAGATGTGCCTCAGTGGCTTCTTGCCTCAAGGGCTGGAAGGTCCTGTGTTTAAGTGAAGGAACGTCTTGTGGTTAATGCATAGCTCTAGGTCCAGCAAACATCCTGGCGTGCATACAGGCCTGCTACCCACCCGCCTGAGACATGCGGTTATCATGCGGCCCTACAGGGCCTCTCGCCCAACATACAACATGTTCCTCCTCCTCAGCCCCCTTGCTACAAAGCTATAACCCTTGTGTAAACAATAAATTTACAGCTTAATCAGAACCCTCCTGTCTTGCTGCCTTCTTTGTGTCTCCTGTCCCTCTCATTCCTCCCTCTAGGTCCTTAGCCCCGTTGACTGTCCCGCGGACGGGACAGCTGGCGCCCAACGTGGGCCTCGAGTGCCCTGTTAAGATTGGAGGAACGCCGCCCTTCGAGGGGGAAAACTTGGATCCAACTGACTGTGTGACCGGCTCGGAACTGCCCCACCGAGACAATCAGCTTCGGTCAACGCTGCGGAGTGAAGACGGCGCAAGGTTAGTGATGACCGTGGGCCAGGCGTTATCGTCACGGGAAATGTTCGTTTCGGGTCTAAAGGAGGCCCTCAAGACATGAGGAGTTCGGGTTAAAACTAAGGATCTAAAGCTTTTTTTGAGTATGTGGAAAAGTTATGTCCCTGGTCTCACCAGGGAGGGAACTACTGACGAGGGCAAGTGGTGAGGAGTTGGAGATGTTTAAAGGATTTTCATGAGACCTTGGCCCTGAAAAGGCGCCTGTTACGGCCTTCTCATATTGGAGTCTAATCAATGACATTGTAAAAGTTCGCTCCATCGACGCCCTGATTAGGGACGGTGAGGAGACGCTACAGCGATCCCCCCACCCCCCGACCCACATCTAAATGTCCGTCTGTCATCTTGGATATGCCTTCCGCCGATGAGGACCCCATAAATGAGGATAAGGAGCCCATTTCGGCTTCTACCAATAAATCGAGTCAATTATATCCTGCCATCCGAGGCAAGTCCTGACAAATTAGATTCAAATATGTTATCATAATTCCTGATTGGCCCCCAAATCTTAAAAATCCCCCGCCATATAACCCTCCCCCTCGCCCTCCCTTTGCGCCCCGGCTCTCTAAGGGCCGACCCTGCCGTGCCTGACTTGTCAGCCTGCGGCGATCACTTCAGCACAGACGAGGACATATTCAGCTCCTTAAGGAGCTGCACTCCCTTGACGAGGACTCCGTCCTCTGAACCCAGGATGGCGCCAGCTAGGCTTCTCCTGTCTGATACCTTCAGGGGAAAACTCAGAAGTTTTTCTATTTACATCCCAAAAGCCCTTTGTTCCAAGAGGAGCAGAGGTGGGGAAGCAAGACCCATCTCCTTAAAACCCTCAGCCTCAACTGGACGGCGCGCTCAGCCCTCTGCCTCTCTGCTGAGCGCCGGCCTGCCCGCCCGCCCAGGTGTAATCTCTCCACTCAACCATGTAACCTCCACCCGCCCCACCCCAGCGACTGGGCACTCTCTCAGGTGCTGTCTGGAGAGGTGTCCGTCCGTCCTTACGGATGTCCCTGCCCTAATAAACTGCTACTTCTACTTTCCGCTACTCTGTCTCACGCCTGAATTCTTTCTTGCGCAAAGACAAGAACCCTCCAATTTCTCTGGTAACACCTTGGGACAGCCCCTCACCCGACCTCAGGGAAAAAAGTCAGGTCTAAAAACCAACCACTTTTGGCTTTTCCCATGACCCGGAGCCAAGCCGCGGAGATCGCTCTGAGCATGCTGCTGGTGGGAAAAATGAAGCTGAGGGAAATTTGTCTCACCACTCTGGGGAAGACAGTGAGAAACCTGGGTCAGGGGATAAAGAACAGAGCCCTGATCAAGGACTGGTAATGGGCAGCCCCCACCCTATAAAAATCTTAGTCTCAGATTTATTGAAAAACTTGGAACTGCTTGCACCCAGTATGGTCCCACTGCCCCGTATACTCAGGCCTTGCTGGAGAACCGGAGCGCCCGATGGCTTACACCTAATGACTGGGACGTCCTCGCCAGAAGCCGCTCTCAGCGGAGGTGACTACGTCCTGTGGAGGGCCGACTATGTTCAGATTTGCAAAGAAATAGCCCCAAAAAATTCTGCTAAAACTTCATCTAAAAACTGGACCCTCAGAAAACTTTTTGGGAGACGCCCCGTATGATTCCAACAATTCACAAGCCCAGTTCCCTTCTGGACTTCTGGCGCAAATTCAAACTGCCGAATTAGGGGCTTGGAGAAAGCTTCCTCAAAGGGGGCCAGTTACCACCTCCTTGGCTAAGATCCTACAGGGGCCGGATGAGCCCTACAGTGATTTTATCTCGCGCCTTAATGTTGTGGCCGAAAGACTACTTGGCCCAGGGGAAAATGGAAGCGCATTTGTTACGCACCTCGCCTTTGAAAATGCCAACCCAGCTTGTAATGATATTCTTCGGCCTCATAAACATCAGGGTGATCTTTCAGACTATGTGAGGCTCTGCGCTGGTGGGGGATCGGCCCATGCCGTGGGCTTGGCAATTGGGGGTGCACTCAAACTGACCCAAAATCTCTCCAAGGGGACCTCCACCTGCTACGCTTGTAAGCAGCCCAGACATTGTGCCAACCGCCTTATCAAACAGACCAACGGCCCAAGGCGTGGCTCCATCCACTCTATGCCCCTGATGTCATAGGGGCTATCACTGGGCAAATAATGCAGATCAAAAACTAATTCTTCAGGCCAACCCCTCCCACCTCGCAAACTGGGAAACTCCCAGAGGGGCCAGCCCCTGGCCCCCATATCTCAAAGGACAAACCCTGGGGCAGAACGGTTTGTCCCTTCCCAGCCTCAGGCCCAACAATTGCCTCCCTCCAATGAGCAACCCCAGGTAGCACAGGACTGGACCTCTGTGCCGCTGCCGATACAATATTAGGTTCCACCCAGGGCCCACAAATTATCCCTACAGGGGTGCGGGGCCCCTTGCCTTCAGGTACCTGTGCTCTTTACTCTCCGCCTAGCGTCAACCATTCTCAAAGGCATTCAAGTTGTTCCCGGTATTATTGACAGCAACTTTACTGGGGAGATAAAAATGCTGGCAGCCGCTACTAATGGAGTAGCTGTCGTTCCACAGGGCACCCGTCTAGCACAGCTGGTTCTTCTGCCTTTATTACTGGAAGTTCATCCTCACTTTCTTCCAGGCCCCTGGGCATTACCCCTTTGGGCTCCTCGGATGCTTATTGGGTCCAGCCAATTACAAAAAATAGGCCTGTGTCAACCCTTACTATTGAAGGAAAGGATTTCAAGGGCATTTTGGCCACAGGGGCCAATGCCACAGTCATATCTCAAGATCATTGGCCCGCCCATTGGCCACTGACCGCATCTCTCACTGATTTGCGAGGTATAGGCCAGTCCAATAACCCCCAGGTCAGCTCAAGGGTATTATATTAAAAAAAAAAAAAAAAAAAAAAAAAGGACACTGTGACTCCTTTTGTATTACCAGGCCTCCCTGTTAACCTGTGGGGATGTGACATTCTCTCCCAAATGGAAGTTATCCTGTGTAGCCCTAATACTATAGTCACACAACAAATGCTGCGCATGGACTATGTGCCTGGCACAGGGCTTGGAAAAATGAGACAGGGCATAACTCAACCTATTACAGCCCCCTCTAAAACACATAGACATGGACTCAGATATTCGGATTTTTAGTAACGGTCACTGGCCTTCCTGTACCCCATGCGGATAAAATCACATGGAATACTCAACTCCTGTGTGGGTGGATCAGTGGCTGCTTACTCAAGAAAAGTTAAATGCCGCTACAGCCTTGTACGGGAGCAACTCGTGGCTGGACACCTAGAGCCTTCCAATTCTCCCTGGAATACGCCCATTTTTGTCATAAAAAATCTAATGAATGGCGCCTTTTACAGGATTTGCACGCTGTTAATAAGGTCATGGCACCTATGGAGCCCTCCAACCTGGCATGCCGACCCCCGTGGCCATCCCAAATGGTTATTACAAAATCATTATAAATCTTGGCCAGCGCTGCGGCTCACTAGGCTAATCCTCCGCCTGTGGCACCTGCACAGCTGGTTCTAGTCCCGGTCGGGGTGCCGGATTCTGTCCCAGTTGCCCCTCTTCCAGGCCAGCTCTCTGCTGTGGCCCGGGAGTGCAGTGGAGGATGGCCCAAGTGCTTGGGCCCTGCACCCCATGGGAGACCAGGAGAAGCACCTGGCTCCTGGCTTCAGATCAGCACGGTGTGCCGGCCGCGGTGGCCATTGGAGGGTGAAGCAACGGCAAAGGAAGACCTTTCTCTCTGTCTCTCTCTCTGTCCACTCTGCCTGTCAAAAAATAAATAAATAATAGATTAACTTAAAAAAAAATAGTTATAGATCTCAAAGCCTGCTCTT